ATTACATTTTTTATTGTATTATTTATAATATTAACAACATCAAGGGAAGACGTTACTCGTACTTTACGATTAATGTTCGTTCATAGTAAAATTTTGATTCCACATTGTATATCCTTATTATAGGCATCGATGAGAATTTGACGTAACGAGTGCCTGGATAGTTTGTTTGCAGAATCTTTTTGAAGTTCATTCATTATTTCAAAAATACTTTACTGACAAAAATAACGAACAGTAAAATTACTACTAAAAAATAACTACTCTGTCACATTAGCAGACGTACGTGTTTATGCACTGATGCGGGTACACACGTCGTCTGCATTATTGACACTGCTGCCGAAGTCAAACTCGAACTCGCGCAGTAATTTGACTAGTACGGTACTCGGAGGTCCTACCTTAAAATAACATTTTTTTTTTCTTTCATTTCGTTTGTGCTTGATAACAAGTGTTAGGATTTAAAAGTGCTTCCTACAACCCCAGCCGGAGTATCATGTACGTTCCATCGATTAGTTTTGATTGCCCGGAAACTTCGGGAGGCTCGACGTATCGATAAAAAAATAAAACACTGGAAAAAACAAGAAGGAGGCAAAAAAACCACGCAAGCGACGTATATAGGGAGCATACGACTCTGCACCTTTGCGATGAGCTGACGCAGGGCGACAATGGCCCGATGTATTCGCCATTTACGGCTTCCCGAGCGACGCGTCTTTTACGAGGGCGAGCAAGCGATAAGAAGGAACAGACGCGCTATCCCCCTAATAATAAAACACACCAGTAACATTCTGGAAAAATCGCGGCCCAGCAATCGTCGATTTTACTACAGCCTAATTTTCAGGTCTGGTGTGTGTGGCTGTAAAAGCTGATGGTAGACACCGTTGGCACGATTTGCGGCTGACGTTTCCGATCGCGGGCTTTTGATAACTGATGCTCTTTTGTTCTCTGTTTTAATGGATTCGCTCAATTGGGATTTTTAAAAAATGTCCTCCTCACCCCTACAAAGATTATCGGAGCCTATTTTTGAGCAAAGTGAAAATTTGTCTGAAAAGGCACTCAAACGAGAGTATTTTAATTAATCCCAGCGTTACAGCGGCGCGCAGGACAGTAGCCCAAGTCGTAGTATGCGCGCGCGAGAGAAAAGGAAAAACCAAATCAACTTAAATTTCCCCGGCGCTTCAGCTCCTCCGAGCTCTCCTTTTCTATTCCCGTTACCCATAGACCCTTTTTCTTCCTTCTCCTCTCAGATCGGACTAGATTATGGGAGGAAGAACATGTCTCGGCTCCTCTTTTATGTACCGCGTGAAAGTCGTGAGCCTTTCTTCTTCTTCTTCTTCTTCTCTCTCTACGAACGTAGCCCTGATTCTTATCGACGCGCATTTGAATAATTGCCATCGCGAGGGGATCAAAGTGTGTGTATAGACTCTTTCCTAAGTACATATATATGTTGTATGATCACGAGAAATGTATTGAAGGAACGGCGGATTAGAGTTTCTCATGAAAAGAAGTGAAAGGACAATAAAAAAAGGGCAAGTTGAAGGAAATATAAAAATATATATCCTTCGAATTTTTCCCGTGTGAAATAAAAGCGTCAAATATTTCCGATGGAGCTCGACAGCAGTGGCAGACAGACCAAACTACCGGTGCAAAACGCGAGAAAATTCTGCGATGGCAGCTGTCGGTAGGATAATTCTCACGTCGGGCAGACAGGCGGGAGGGTGGAGGAAAAAAAAAAAATAATAATAATAAAAAAAAGGGAAATCAGAGAAACGCCAACATCAATCCTTTGACGCGTTAGTTGCGCAAACTCACTTGACCCGCTTTCTGAGACCTCTTGCATCATCAGAAGCACCGCGCGTTGCAGCAGAGTTTGCGTTGGCCGATGGTGCTAAGTTTTAGCGGAAGAAAGAAGAGCAAAGAGTCCAGGAAAGAGACTATACACACTCATGTTTGCTGAGACGACAAGCGGCGCCTCGGGCGGACCCAGCCAAACGATGTGTGCTGTACCTATATCATGGTGTATATAACACACCTACACTTCTAAGTCAGCCGGCTTTGAGCTTAATTAGGTTCTTTGGGTTTGAGTGTTTCCAGCGAACAACGCTCGCTTGCTCGGACACTTTTACACTGGTGTACCTACGATGTTAAAAGCTTGGGACGTCGCGGCGAGATCGAGATAAGCGTGTATACAGATACTTTCGGGGCGTGGTCCGAGAACTACCAGGATATCGCATACATACGAGCTCGTAATTATGCACGTACATTGAGAGCCATGAAAATGATGAAATATCACTTACGTGCCGAATAAAATAACACATGAGGGCAAACTGAGAAATTTTTTACAATTTTCTCGCTTGAGTATAGAGTCGGTCGAATCGACCGGCTTTGTAGAACCTGTTCCGAGATGGAAGTCGGATTATGTTGACTCGTATACGCTGGAAATAAAATGAAAACTCGACAATTCTATTATCAGTAAATGATTCATTTAATAAAAATTGAGCCGCCGATGTAAATACATCACCTATACTCACTAACTAAAGCAAAACAACCACAGAGAGCTCCTGGATGGCCCGCATCACGCGCATAGATACCCTTGATTTAATCACGAGAAGGAAAAATCTTCATTCGCTGAAGTAGAAGTAGAAAAAAAAATGAAATCTTCCAAGTGAGCTCTCGCAGCAGCGAAAAGGCATCGAATCTCATGGAAACAGTAATGCACCGAAGAGAGGCGGGAGTTGGACTGCAGCGGAGTTAAACAGGATTTGCTGGGAAAAAGACGGGGAAAGGGTATATGGCACCGAGCGAAATAGGAAATTGATCCAAAGCAGACCTTCCATCCCTTTTTTTTTTTTTGCACGACCGCAGCGCAAAGCCTATACGCGCTTTCATTCCTGTCCCGTACTCTTCTTTCATCGCACGCGACTCCGTACCTACATATATACACATATATATAGCCAGCGGCAGCGATAAATCCCCGGGATTTTTCATCGGATTTCCTCCTCAGTTTCTCCATCTCTCGTTTTCCGAGCCACGACGGTCGCTGCGTACGCACGCTGCATCGGATGAAAGCAGCCAGAGCCCCGGCGTTAAAGAGGATCCCGTGCACCCGCCTCTTTGCTCTCCTTATACATATATACTTCTTCGTAGGTATCACACACACACAGCCCGGCAAGTTCGCGGATTAACGAGCCGTATATAAATCAAGGGAGGGCACCCGTCTGTTGTGTACACCGGACCTAGCACCCCCGCGTCCGATGCTCATACCCATACATGTATACGCGTTGTACAGCGTATACGTGCAGGTGCTGGAAACTTGGAGCCGCGGGTACAATGCACCGCGTTCCTTCCTTGATACCGGATTATCGCCGTGTTTATAGCCAGGCGTAGCTGTGCGGAGGAGCTTCTGCACGCCGCGGGCGAGAAAAGGCGAAATTCCCCGGACGGCGACGACAATGCCGTGCTCGGGAAAGGGGAGAGGAGCTTGCAAGCGCGGGTGTTATCGACAACGCGACGCCCCGAGCTGTTCGCTTCCTCCTGCATTCTCCTCTCTCTCTCTCTCTCTCTATACACATCTTCGCTATTGGTCTTTTGGATTTGTAACAATGCACCCACGGACGAGCATTGTTTTCTCCTTACGTGTTGCACTGCGCCGTGTAACAGGGGGGAGGGGTGGAGTTTTTTGCACGCGGTGAGCCAATGCTTGCTTTTCAGCGATTTTTTTTTTCTCTTTCGTGGCTCTTCCGAGATTCTGCGAGTGTACTTGTGGAAGAGGTCGAGCAGGGGCAGAAATGTTTTTCATTTCGACCTACTTTTCCCAGTTGCGGGTGTTTCTCCTTTTAATTCAGGTGCTCTGCGTTTGACGTTTCTGTCGCGGCCAGTGGTGTATGCAGTATACAGCGCCAGGAGTCGTGCTTGTTTTTCGACCTGCTTTTCCGGAAAGCGTAATGAAACTCGATAGGTAAAAGCTCTTTCGTTTAATTTCAAGGGTATCGGAAGGAAACGGCGAAAAGCAAGGGGGTGCGGGGCGAGGAAAGGGGAACTTATAATCAATATATGCACTGTAATTGGAGCTGCTAAAAGCCCAGAAGAGGGTGTGTTTGGCTGCTGATGGGTTTTGAAAAGGGCGCAAAGTTTAAATTACTTTCAACGCGTCCACCCTCTTCCCTGTACCTGCAAGAGTTCGAGAGAGCTGAGTGAGTGTGTGTGTGTATATAGAGGCGAGGCCTCAGTGTGGGTTGTTGCAAAAACGTCAAAGTTGCTTAACGCAATTATGAAGGGGTAATTTGTTAAGATTATCGCCCGACGTGCGTTTTGCGGTGTAATTTATGTGAATTGACGTTTTCGAGTGAGTTATGAACTCGTAGTAACGATGGTTATGGGGGAGACGATAATTGTCGGGGTGAAATATCACTTTGAGCATACGTTGAGCGCAATCAATTACATCGATGATCGTAGGTTCTCTATTTCCTTAAAAATAGTACGTATAAACAACAAAACAGGGGACTTTGAGATCGGATGCATTTTTTTATTACGAGTCATAAAAATTCTCGGTCCCTCGTAAAATTTTCACCCTCGTGTTTGGAATCACGCTGTCCGTGGGAATAAAATACTACTTGCTCGCGTGAATTTCGTAATAATGGTCCGTTCGTACGGGGCTTACCGCTGAAGCCTCTTTGTCCCCCGGCGATAACTTAGATGCCGATATCTCGGAAATTTTACGGGACCCTCAGCTCTTGTTTGCTTTACGATGATAAAAATGTTATCTTCCCTTTCAGCGTTGTCTATTACATCGGTTTTAACACCCTATACTGGTGATACCCTCCGTTTTTTTTTGCAAAGTGCTGCAGTAGCATTTTTACAAAATCGTAACTTCCGCGTTACTTGAAAGGAGAAGCGACTCGCAACTACAGGAGCACATACGGGTGTGCATTTTCGGTTTCATTCAAAACATGGGGAATGGTAAAAAAATCTCTAACACTATAGCTATACATAACAAAAAAGCAACGTACCTTTAACTGCGTGTGTTCCGTGCGCGAACTCATGTTGCCGTCGTCAAAGCAGCGATCATCCACCTGTAACAGGAGAAATATTTAAAAAATTAAATCCCAAAGCACTTTGTTTGACGGGTGTCGATTTTCCGAGAGATTATGGCGTATATCATCGGATACGCGCTCGCTCGTTATAATACACGATACGGTTAATCAAACGCGTCGGCTTCGATTTCCCTCGCCCGTGAGCGGCTATTAAATTCTCGCCGTGTGTATCCCCAGTAGTTTAATCAAATGAGATGGCTCTACACGCTGTGTGTGACGATGCTTTTTTTTGTTCATACAATGATACAACAGATTTTTCCTGAAAATTCCAAAAAAAAGAGAGTTAGGGTCTTGCTAGCCGTACACGGGAAAAGTGTATTAACGAAAATTTCTGAAAGAGGAGCGAGAGAGGCAGTAATCGCTTAATAAAAGTCACTTTAGCGCGAAACAATTCCGAAGCAGGGAAATTAATTCCTCCGGAGGTGAAGCGGGAGGGAAGAGCACGACAGGAATTACCATAGAGACGATGACGGGGAGTGGAGGAGAGGCATAAAAAAAAAAAAAAAAAAAAAAAGCGGAGGAGGTGTACACCCGAGCGATAGAAGTAGTACGGCGCAGACATGGGTATATGTATAAAGCTCGTGGAGGAGGAGGAGGAGGAGGAGGTGTTCCCAACTCGGCCGGCGCGTGCATTAGCACGGTAAATCATGTTAATGTCGGTGCGTTTATTATTCAATTTCGAGAATCAAAGGGGGAGAGCAAAAAGCCCTCACTTTTCCACTCTCCTTCGTCTTAATCTTTTCCAAATTGTTCGAAATCGCTTTTCGAAGGGGTCGACTGTTTCCCCGAACTTCCCGCCTGGTGATTGTATTACGTGCTCTTTGATGCTTTTGAATTCGCAATTTCATTGAATTTGCTCGGCTTGATCGATGTACGGTAGTTTCAATACATTTCGTCGATTTTCTCTTTAGTCAAGGATCAAAGTGCTCAATTCATCCTAACGTTTTATCAAAATTTATTCACGTATTTTACACATAAATAATATTGCTGAGCGTATTGACTTCCAACAAATATAATGAAATAATGAATTTTACACTTTTACCTCAAGATTTTTTTTTATAGTGGGAAAAGAGGGAGTATGTGAGATTGTGACAAATAATCGATAGCTGAACTCAAGGGAAGAATTTGGTGAAACCCACAAGTAATCGTAGATTTCTCTTACGATGGAATAGTCTAAAAATTCAGGAAAATGTCATCAGCGAACTGAGGACCACCACGTAAGGACCAACGTAATGTAGAAAAGTGTAGGCACTACGTTTAATAATATCATAACGTATTATACTCATAGACTGGGCTCGCAAAATTGCAGATTTAGTGGGTGGAGACAATAAGCGCACTCCTAGTGACATCAGACGCATATATTTTTTGAAACTTTTTTTTTTTTTTCGAATAAAATAACGTTGCCCGTCGAGTCGAACAGCCGCATTATGTTCAGGCTAAGCCAATGCGGGCGCGAAGACCAAACGAAACCGTCCTCTTAATCCACAGAGTATCATCCGGTCGTACATAACGACCATCGAAAACGCAGAGGTCCCCCTCCCCTCCCCCGCATGTCGGTAATGGTCCCTTTTCGGTCAATACTCCTCGACAGCTCTATAAATATAAATACCAATTACTTCACCACTGCTGCTGCTGACCGTCTCTCCAAATATAGCCGTGGTTGGACGAAAGCCCTCTCTCGCTCATTGAAACGTATTAGCCAGCCGACGTCTCTCTAAGCTCGTTGAAAACGAAAAATACAAAACGACTCTCGTGCACGCTGATACAAAAAATAAAAAGGGGGGGGGGGCAAAAAACGCCCTCGTGACCAGTAGTCGTATATCTCCGTTACTTTCCTTCGCTGACTCATTCTCCTTTCCTGTACGCGACGTCGACGAGAGAGAAAAAAAAAAAAAAAAGAGTACGAAAGGATCTACGTTTCACGAGCGCGTACACACACACGCGCGAGGCGAACCAATTTTTCTCAATTTCCCAGTCATGGCTGTCTTTTTCCTCTACCCACAGTCCACTCCAGTCGTCCTCTATAAATAGAGAGGCCGGCAGATAGGCGGGCATTACGCTCTCGCGCGGAAACCGTAAATTATTTCCCCGAGGCTTAATGAGGGCCCCATTGGGACCGAGGGCTGTATAGTATGGTGTACTTATATACGACGGGGCGCACGCATAGGTGCAGAGAGCCACAGCTGCTGTTTCCCGTAACAACAGCGACCCCCTCCAGCACTCGTCGATCGACAGCAAAACACGCACCCGTGGATTTTCGGGCGGCCCGCGGAAACAATTAAACGTCCGATAACTCAGCCTTTACGCACATGTGAGTATATACATGTATATGCTCTAAGCGCTATCTCGTTTGCGGGTAATTTATTTGCCGGACGGCGTGTGCAGGGGAGGCGGAAAAAACTGCGGCGATCGAGTAATTGCGCTTGTACGCGATTCGTTCGAGGGGGGGGGGGGTGTAAAAAAGCGCGAAAATCTCGGGAGGATTCGCACCGGCGTTGTCGCCCGTGGTTTTTTTTTTTTTTTTCTATTTTTTACACAAATAAAAGCGTGAGCTCGCGTGCATGGGTATGTTGGTTTTGAAACTCCAACCGGCTGTGAGCAAAAGTTCTTTTTTTTTTATTCGATACTTTTTTGCTCGTTATTGAATCGACGGCGATGATCGAAGACTGGATTATTCACTGGGGACGCTATTCCCAATCTCACCGATGCAACCACGGCTACGTTCAATTGAAATTTTTTTTAATACAATATATACACTTGAAAATTGAAAAAGCGAAAACGGAAGGGGATTTTCAATTTATTTTACAATCCGCAGTCTCGCGAAGCCATTGATTCCAACGAGGAACGGTAGAAAACGAAGGAAAAAAGGACAAATTCTACGATTCGACCTAACGATAATTTTTCCCTTTATCTTCAACACCAACGACTCGGTCCGTCCATCTTTATGGCCCCTCTTTTCTTTTCCTGATATTTTGAACGAAGAAAGTAAAAAATCCACACGCGCGCGCCAAAGACCCTCCTCCCTTCTGGAGAGACAAGTTCAATACGCGCATCATTATTGTCGATAAACTGCCAAAGGTAACGCGATAACGCTCCGTTCATACTAATAAGCTCTGATCGCGTTTTACCAGCTAGAAGCCGATGAATTTATAACCGAATGAGCCCATCAAACATTCAAGCCACATCACGAGAGCGATCCAAGAAGGAGGAAAAAACCCTTGAACTTCGATAACTATATACGAACGCTTATAACTGCCCGATATGTATATTCGTACTTTGAGTGGCGGGGAGCTCCCGCGAACTTGGCCATTCATATGTAATCCGAGACTCTTGGCACACTTGGCACTTTAACTCAGTGCATGGATATAAAAAAAATTGGAGGAACCATAGATTAGTAGACAATCCTATAGTGAGCCGGGAAGTGGAGAAGCCGCGAAGTAGCGGTTTAATTCACCGCGAGTATAAATATTTACCCACGCCACTGCTGCCCCACGCTACGTGCGTATATGTATACACCAAAGGCTATACTCATCTCCCTTTACCAAAACCCGCTGCAGCTGTTCTCGGCAAATATTAATAGAGGCGCGTGCGATGACGGGCCCGCGCGCGGATACAGGAAAACCCATGCACAGAGAGGAGGAGCACTGAATCCCTCCCGGAGCCGCGCGGAAGCAATCGAGGGTCTTTATACGCAAGCGCGGATCGTAATTAAGCCATTCCGGTGCCGCGGCTTCGAATGCCTTCAAACTCTGAGCGTCGGTATCTGTGAAACGCGGGGGTGCACGCCCTTCCATACATTATTATATGCCACGGGGCTGCTCTTTGATGTGCTGAATTTGATTAGAAAAATTGGTTGGGTTTTTTTTTTCCATTACAATTCTACACTTACACAAGGTAGTATTGAATTTACATTTCCATTGATCTCCCCCCCACAAAAAAATTCTCAAAAACGAGCCTTCAAACGCTGACTTGTAAATGAAATGTCAGTCCTACCCTCTTTTTTTTTCTTGAAAAAAAAAAAAAAAAAAAAAAATACGGTGAAACACAAGAGAAGGTCCTCAAAAAAAAACAGGAAGAACCCCTCGAGCCGATCGTCAACTCACAGCTGTAACGAAATCAAAAAGACTTTTATGAATAAAAATACACTCTTCAACCGAACACACGTTCACGGAGAGCAACTCCTGCCAAAATGGAAAATGGAAAAAAAATTTCACAACTCCCCGTACACAAGTACAGCTTCCAACGTAAGCTGAAATAAATGAACCGATGGGGGAGAAAAAAAAAAGAAAATACGCGCATTATACCAAATTCCATTATCCGCAGCGATAAAGCGAGCGAACGAAAAAAGACAGCCCCCCCGAAAAAAATGACGTCCAGCATTAAAAGCATCCGGAGAGCGATAACGCGAGAGACCGCGTCGCGAACTCCCATCCCACCTCCCTCTTCGGCTCGCAATTCGGAGGCGATAACCCGAGCTCTAAATCGAATTGGATATCGGCAGTGGCAGCGAAGGGGAGGAAGAAGAAGTTGCGCCCAAGTCCCGAGAGATAGACGAGACGATAGTCGGAGCGAGAAAGAAAGGGCGGGGCGGGACGGGCAATTACTTTTGGCAAAGGATGCGGGCCCCGGGGAAGATAAAGAGAGCCTCGGGGGCTGCGAGGGATAGAGAAAGAAGCGCGTCCACGCTTTCGAAAACGAAAAATTTACATCCGTGAAAGAAGTAACGCGTATACTTTGAACCCTACATATCGACGCTCTAACGAGGTGTACTTACGACTACTATTTAAAAAAATTCGACCAATTGAGGGTTAATTTCCGGGGTAACTGACTTAACCAACTGACAGCAACTGCTCGAATTTCTCTCGGGGAAACTCCGCTGGAGTGGATAAACTATTATCGTCCCGGGTCCTTTCCGTTTACCGTGTATATGTGCGAGTCCTCCGTAGCTATTACAACTGCTTGCACCTTCCCGGGTCGTC